GACAAAAAGGAGGTCGGGGCGCTGCCTGACTGCATCGGAGGCGGCGCGAAGAAGAGGGGTCCTGAGTCCTGAGGATATCCGGGTTCGAGGTTTTCGGAGGTCTCCATGGCTTCTTGGAAGGCCTACGGCCTCGAGACGCTCTGCAACAGGTGCGCCTCGCCGAGAGCGTTCCTGGGGGTCTGAGTCGTCCCGAACGGTCGCCAGAGTCTTTGGTTATGGCCTGGAAGCCGAGGTTCTAGGATCGAGTAGTTCGCAACCATCCTGTGTGGAATTGGGTCCTCGTTTTGAATCAGCGGCGCTGGGCGGCTTCCCTCCCCTCCCTCCTCGCTCTCCTCCCATCCTTCCTCCTCTCTCCCACCACCTTAGGCCCCAGTGGTTGCGTTCGCATGCCGCCGCAACCCCACTTTGGCGCACCCCTCACACAGTTCGTGGCCCCATGGGCGGCTCCACCTAAGGTTCTAGTGGCTGCGTTCGCGTGCCACCGCAACCCTACTTTGGCGCACCCCTCAGGCGTTGCGTGGCCCCATGGCAAGGCCCCAGTGGCTGCGGTCGCATGCCGCCGCCACCCCACTTTGGCGCACCCCTCGCACGTTTCGTGGCCCCATGCGAGCTCCGCCTAAGGCCCAGTGGCTGCGCCCGCATGCCGCCGCCACCCTACTTTTGCGCATCCCTCGCATGTTTCGAGGTCCCCGTGGCTGCGTTCGCATGCCTTCTCCAGACCATTTCGGCACATCCCTCACACGTGTCGTGGCCCCAGCGGCAGGAATCGCATACGTGACCGCGCCCATGTCGGCACACCCCTCACACGTGGCCCCATAGGGAGCTCCACCTAGGGCCCCATTGGCAGGAATCGCATGCGTGACCTTGCCCATTTCGGCACAGCCCTCGCCCGTTTCGTGGCCCCATAGGGAGCCCCGCCAAAGGCCCCATTGGCGGGAGTCGCGTGGGTGACCGCTCCTATTTCGGCACGCCCGTCGAATGTTTCGCGGCCCCCATAGGGCGCTCCACCGAACGCCCCATCGGCAGGAACCGCATGCGCGACCGCGCCCATTTTTTGGCACACCGCCGCCGCCTGCCGTCCCCAGACAGAGTCCTGCTGCTCACCGGGGCCAGGCCGACAGACGCTCAGATCAGCAGTGACGGGTTACCTCCAGATGTAACCCGTTGCGGCTGACCCTGGCGACCCCATCGGCAGCATCGCTCCGTCTTTCTCACGCACGCCTTAGAGTCCTTTTGGTGGTCCCCTCCCTTAGTTTCTTTCGCGTCTTGCGGTACTCGCAGCTGCAGATGGTTGGGTCCTTAGCCAGGCTATTTTTGCAGAGGGGGGCGCTCCGTTGGGGGGGTGGGGGCGCTCCGGGAGGCTCCTCGTCCCAGGGCCAGATTCGCTTCGAAATTCTGGTCAGAACAGAGCGCGCTCTTGGAGGGGTCCTGGGTTCGACTCGTAACGGTCGCAATGGAGAGACACAGGGGTCCCGAGGGAAATAGGCTCTGATTTTTGTCCGCCGCTCTGGCACATCGTGTGTGTTTCCAGTTCCGATGCGCCCGCAGCGGTGGTCTCGGGACAGAGGAAGGTCTGCTCGGAATAGACTTCGGGTTAAGGGGCAACGCCCAGGGGTCCAGGGCAAGCTTCTTCGGAGGCGTCCAGCAGGGTGAGGTCAGGACCACGGTCGGGAACACTGGATGGCGTGCCGCTTCGCTGGTTTTGGCTCACCAAGCCTCGGCGCGACACGCTGTCCCCTTCCACCTCCGCAAGCGTCCACGTCCCGAGCTTTCTCCGAGCCTGGCGCCCCGCGGAGCGGAGCGATACGCTGCCCACTCGCAAGGTATAGCGCGTCGCCGGGGCCGCCGGGGCGACACGCTGCCCAGCAGTTCCCGACCGCAGACTTCTGTTCTCGGGGCCAGGGCCCCGGGGTCCGGCGCAAGTTCTGGTTCGGCGGCGTCCAGCAGGGTGATGTGCGGATTGGTCTGTGGACGTCATGGTTGGAGCCACGAAGTCTCCCAGGCTTCGTGGTCCCCGCCCTCTTTCCAACACGTGGCCCTGCCGCCCTGCGTTCTGCCCCGTCCGCGCACGCGCCTCGGGCCAGGATGCACCGACCCCCCCTCCGCCTGGCCCCCAGGTGCCGACGCGGTCCCGTCCAGGGGAGGCGGTGGTGGGGGGAGGCGCCGCGTGGGGCGCTCTGCGGCCAGGGCCAGGGCTGGACCTACTCGCTGTTTTGCTGCACTTCGGCTGTGTTTTGTTTTTGTTTT